TATATATATATATATATATATATATATATATATATATTTCTGGATTTATGATTTCAGGTTGCTTGATATTTATCTAAACCCAACAGATGGGAAGAAACCCATGTTCAAAGCTGCTGTTAGGCTTCTCCATAATCATGGAGAATCTCTTGATCCTCTGCAAGTTCTTGAGGTATTAAAAAGATAGTAAAAAAGAAAACAGTAACTATAAATCTTACCAAAAGGTCTCAAAAGTTGTAGGTTTTGATTTGCAGAGATTATCCCCAAATATGCCCTTACAGCTTGCTTCGGATACAATATTAAGAATGCTAAGAGCTCGTCTTCATCATCATTATCAAGGACAAGTAGGTTCTTTGCAAATTACCCATCTTTCTTGAAAAAGATAACTGCTTTTCAAGAATGAGCTATTTTGGAAAATATATATTTATAACTTGTGCAAAGTTTTTAACTTGTTAGATTCTCCATAATATGTCACGGGCTGTTGGGCTTGATGCAAATTTAGCAAGATTGGAGGAAAGATCACGACATGTACAAATTAACGATGAAAGTTTATGTGATTCTTGTCATGCAAGACTTGGAACAAAGTTATTTGCAATGTATCCAGATGACACCGTTGTTTGCTACAAGGTGTGTATTCTTTCTTCTCATAAACTCAAAAAGTATGACCACATTGTTGACCCCAACTTAATGTTTTACTTTTATTGTCTGTAGTGCTTCAGACGGCAGGGTGAGTCGACATCTGTAACAGGTCGGGATTTTACGAATGATCCGGTGTTTAAACCCGGGTGGCTTGTTACTGATTGATGATTAATTATTAGATACATAACATGAAGAGTTCCAATCCATACAAAATGGATGATGTTATTTAGTTTTACACTGATGTAAGAGCCCAATTTTTGTATGTTGTTATCCAAGATATGTAAAGCATTCGCTGTAATCATGTAAATGAGGACAATTGCATGTTTTTTTTTTTTAGAGTTTTTGTTATAGAGGAGTACGACTGCAAATATTGTTTTGGTGTTTTTGTCGATTATAATTTATACAAAGTTTGATTGTCGATAACAATGATGATGACTAGTATTTTCCAATTTGTTTAACTTTGTAAGACATGTATTTTTAGTTTTTGTAATGATTATTTTTATGTTCTTGTCTAGCAAATACTTGAAAGTTCAAATACTCATTGATAATAATAAAATAAAACGAGGGGTAAATTGCAATCTATATCTATCTTTCTAGGATACAATGAAATTGTAATCTATCCTTAATTGTCAAACTCGTAACGTACGAGGTTCAAATTGGTTAAATCTCTAAGTGTAGAGGTATGTTTGAAAATTTAGTTCTTCTCTATCATTCCGCCACTCTGCTACAAGGGCGCAGTAGCTCCGCTTCTCTCTCGTGCAAGACTTGGTCCTCCGGTGACGGCGCAGCTCATTAAAAAATAGCCTTCCGGCAGATCGCCGGATGTCTGCTACTGTGAGCGGTCGATCTCGAAGCATTCTCATTAAGGTGTGTAACTCTCTATTATCTAATACTGCCTTCGCTCTACTCCCAAAACCCCCAATTTTTCAATGCTCACATTGCTTCAATACTTCATCATCTTCCAATCGTAAATGTGATTATCTTGAGGATTTCTCACCTTTAAAGAATTTAAATAGTGAAGACGCTATTATAAGTCCGAATGAGAGGCGTAGAATCATATTAGGGTTGGGGAAACTGATAAAAAAGAAGCAAGGTTTTGTCTTGAAGAGGTTTTCTCGTGATTTTCGCCCCTTTTTGTTAGTAAAGATCATGACACAGTTTGAAAACAGACATGGCGCGTTTGCATTTTTCAAATTCGTGTTCAGGGAGGAGTCGGATAGAATAGTCAAGTCGTGTTGCGTTGCATGCCATGTGTTGGCTATGCATGGTTTCAGGATTATAGCACAGGATGTGTTATCATGGATGATAAGAAGAATTGGAGTCTCTAGAGGTCAGGATTTGATGGAATTTATGTGGAGAGGACATTTTGGTTATGAGTCAGATTTTTCAGTTCTTGATTCACTTATGCGTGCTTTCACGAATGTAGAAATGGACTCACATGCATTACAGATTTCAAGAATAATGAGAGGATTAGGAATGCAACCATGTTTGTCAGCACTTTCAATTCTCTTTAAATTGTTACTTAGAATAGGTGATTACGGAAGTGTTTGGAAGTTATTCAGAGATATGATCAGAAAAGGGCCTCTTCCTTCAAACATCGCATTCAATGTAATGATCCATGGGTTCTGTAGGAAGGGACAAGTTCAAACTGGAGAGAGCTTGTTACACTTAATGAATAAGTTTCAATGTGAACCAGATGTTTATACATATAACATTTTGATCAATGCATACTGCATCCATGGACGAACTTCAGATGCTTGGAGTTGGGTTGACTTAATGGTCAAAAGGGGCTGTACTCCAAGCAATGCCACTTTTAGTACAATCATCAATGCCTTGAGCAAAGAGGGAAAAATTAAGGAAGCAAGAGACATATTTGATGAAATGCAAGAAAATGGTGTATCTCCAAATACTATTGTTTACAATGCATTAATGGATGGTTTTGTGAAAGCTAGAGAAATTGATAAGGCAACTGATCTTTTTGAGGATATGAAGAACAATCATATCAAAGCAGATGATGTGACATATAACATATTGGTTTCAGGATACCATAAATATGAAAGAGTCGAAAATTTAGATAACTCATTAAGTTATCTAAATCGATCCATGTGTGGCCCACTTTCAGATTACTCATGGCCAGATGTAACAGTAGCAATATTGTGTTCAGAAGGAAGAACAGATGAAGCCACTAAATGTCTAGAAGACATGCTCAAAGAGGGTTTACCCCTTTCAGTAATTGCTTTCAATTCTATTATCTGTGCTTATAGCAAAAAAGGATTAGAAACAAAGGCATTTGATGCTTACCATATGATGATGAAATATGGTGTAACCCCCTCATCTTCCACAAGTAATTCCTTGCTCACGTGTTTATCAAGAAATGGAAAACTTCTAGAAGCCGAGGAGCTTATGCATTATATGATACAGAATCAGTTTCCAGTCAATAAAGTGGCATTCACTGTAATTATAGATGGGTACTTCAAGATTGGGGATGTGATGGGTGCTCAAAGATTATGGGCATATATGAAAAGTAAAAGTATATCCCCAGATACTGTTGCATTTTCTGCTTACATTGATGGATTATCTAAATCTGGTCTTGTTGAAGAGGCGTATAATGTGTTCTTACAAATGAAAAACAAAGGGGTTTTCCCAAATAATTTCACTTACAATTCTTTAATTGCTGGATTTTGTAATGTTGGGAGATTAAACGAGGCGTTAAAGTTGGAAAAAGAGATGAGACAAATGGATCTTATTCCTGATCTTTTCACTATCAATATTCTTATCAACGGGTATTGTAAACAGGGTAGGATGAAGTATGCTATTGACATTTATACAGACATGCATCGGTTTAATTTAGTACCTGATATTGTTACTTACAACACTTTGTTAAGTGGATACTGCAAGGTGTTTGACATGGATACTGCAGATAATCTTGTCTACAAAATGTACACCAGTGGGTGGGACCCGGATATAACCACTTACAACATTCGGATCCACGGGTTTTTTGTTACTCGAAAAATGAAAAAAGCTGTATTGGTGCTCAATCAACTTCTTTCATCTGGAATTGTTCCAAATACAATCACTTATAACACAATGCTGAATGCTGTTTGCAGTGATATACATAATGATGCTATGATCTTGACTGCAAAACTGCTGAAAATGGCTTTTGTTCCAAATATTGTGACAACAAATTTGTTGTTGTCACATTTGCGTAAGCAAGGGTTGCCACAAATGGCTTTGAAGTGGGGGGAGGATTTGAGGGAATTGTGTCTTGAATTTGATGAAGTGACTTATAAGATTTTGGAAAGAGCTGATTGTGATGTTAAAGCAAGAGGCGATCAGGGTGTAGAAGAAGATGCTGTTTATATATCTGAAGAAGGGTTTTTTATTGATTTTTTTATGCACCTTACTTATGACTATTTGTGTAGAAATAAGTTTTATAGTTCTAGAAGAAAGATCAAAAGTGGATCTGGTAGGTCTTGTAATGTTGAACAACCAATGTTGGAAGTTAACAAGTGAATGGGATTCAAAGAGAAAGATTATGTTTATAAACAAGTGATGAAATTGTTCATCAAAATTCGAGTTTGATGATCTGCTCAGCTTCAGAGAGATCTTGATATTAGGTATCTTGAAACATATTTAAATATTTAGAAAAAATCAGACGCTTTTAATTATATTTATTATAGAATCAGCTTTTCTTATTATGTGATTTTGACCTAAAATTTGCAGGGATGGTTGAGGAGATGAGTCAGACATACAGGTCAAAATTAAATTCATTTAGCAAATTTCATAAAGGTTTGATTACTACTCTTTCCACTGATGCCCAAAATGAAAAAAAAAAAAAGAATCTCTAAACATTATTATATATTATGCAAGAAGAAAATAAGCATCATATGTGTTTTAAGACACTTTAGCTCTATGCATTATCATAAACCCTTTCTTACTAACTCCCCCAACATGTTCACTCAGCTTAGCCAACTGAGCCAATCTCCTCTTTGATGAATCCGAGACTTCCCCCATGTTTGAGTTTTCAGTCAACTCCCGTGGTTCATCATCACCAACCTCATAACTTTTATTTGAGGGGCTTCCTTCAGTTGAAACATCCAAAATCTGCTTCAAAGACTCCACCACTTGACTCATTTTAGGTCTATCTTTTGCACTCTTTAGCAAACAACTATCTGCTAGCTTTGCAATTTTTCTAGCATCTGTGAGGGAGTATCGAGCTTCAAGGCGTGGGTCTATGATTATCCCAAACTTTTTACTGTCGATTGGATATCGTCTTACAAAATCTATCAGTTTCTGGTCTTCTTTTGGTCGGCTTCTTTCTAATGAACGCCTTCCTGTTAGGATCTCGTATAGAACAATCCCAAAACTCCACACATCACTTTTTGCTGTTAGATGACCCGTCTCGATGTAGTCCGGAGCTGCATAACCGTGTGTACCCATAACAGCGGTTGAGACATGTGTGTTACCCTCAGTCGGGCCTTCTCTAGCAAGCCCAAAATCTGAAAGCTTCGGGTTGAAATCTTCATCCAATAAAATATTGGACGTCTTAAAATCTCGAAATATCACCTGAACCAGAACCATATACAAAGTAACAAACATTATTGCTATGAAATTATATGTATATACACGATTTTATTTTTATTTGGAGAAAGAAAATAAAAAGAAATACCTGAGCTTCTAATTCTTCATGCAGATAAGCAAGTCCTTGTGCTGCTCCAAGCATAATTTGTAATCTTCTTTGCCATGGAAGAGGATCATGAGATTTTCTGAAGAGATGATCTTCTAAGCTTTTATTCGGCATGAACTCATAAACCAACAGGCGTTGGATCCCTCGTTCACCATCCATGGCACAGTATCCGATTAGTTTGACCAAATTCGGGTGGTCAACTACACCAAGAAATTGTACTTCAGCAACCCATTGTTTGTGACCCTGCATCCCAGATAAAGAAAGAATGTACTTTTAATCATTCATAATGTACATCTTGCAATGCACAGTGTGTGAAAAGGAAAAAAATACTGATTATTGCTTCAGTACCCTTTTGTACATAATTCGAGCACATGTTACGCACTACAATTATCAATGCACAGTACATGCATGAATCATGATACATGTGGGTTGGATCAATGCACAAATCACAATCATCAATCAGATCGATTACTATTTCAAGTTTATATGGCTTCCAACTATAGGGATATGTCAATATCAATGACAAATCAAATTCAAATTGGTATAATAAGAAAAACTGGTTAAAATTGCGACTTCCATATAAAGAGCAACCATTTTTTTCACAAAACTTTTTGATGCTATATGTTATTGTAACGTAACTTACCCAAAAACGTGTTGATACATACAAAA